TGAGAAGTGCATTTTTTTTTTTTTTGTGGTACTGGAGTTTAAACTCAGGGTCTCATGCTTGGGAGAAATGGGCTTTTGTTGAGCAGAGAGTCACATGGACAGGACAGAAAAATGACATGGGAATCCCAAGTGATGCAGGAGCCTGTCCAGAGTCCCTTGGTGGATGGCATCTGTCAGAGTGTGGAGGGGCCCAGCAAGAGAGGGCAGCAAGCTGAGGTTCCCAGTGTATTCTGCCTCCTGATGAGGGGAGTATCCACACACCAGCACTAAGAAGGAAAAGAATGTCCTCCAAAGGTGGCAGTACCCTCATTATCACACAAGTGGGGATGGGGAGGAATCAGTACGGGGGGAAGGGGTGGTGGATGGAAGAGAGCCACTCTATCACAAAAAAGTTATGCTGCCTCCATCCCCTTGATCATGATGTCTTCCTTCCAGGGGACCATAGATCTGCAATGAACACCACCTGTGAACATCAGCCACAAGGAAGCAGGTCCTGTTGTAGAGGAAGGGATTTCTGAAAGAATGCCAGGCTACTTTGTACCCATGGAGCCTCCTATTTCATCTACTTCTGCCTGGTCCAAGTTCTTCCAAGTTGGATCTAATCAACTCTACCCCTTGCTGTCAAGTCCTACACAACATGGCCCTACATAGGTGACTTCCATTAGCATCAGAAACCCTTAGTCCACAGACGATTACAGAACTGGACCTTCCAACCTCACCCCCATGAGGACCTGCCCAGAATAGAGGAAGTCAAGCTGACTCAAAGTACTGACTGCAACCTAGGAAAGGTGTCCCAGACCAGAAAGAGGCCATGGCTCCTGAGTGGAGAACTCTCTGCTACCCCACCTCAACACCAAGAGAGCTGATTAAGTCACAGACCTTGCAGAGGCAGAACAAGGGCAAGGCACTCTGATCCAGGAGAAAGAGCAGGAGTCTGTAACACGTGCTTTTGAAATCCTGGTAATGGTTAGATGCAGTTTAATCTTAAGCGAAATGCTAGGTTTTCCCCTGAATCCAGTAGATGCCCTTGTCACTCCAACTGTAAGGGTGTAATACAACTGGATAGGATGCTTAATTTTTGAGTAATAGCATAGTAACTGCTTGACTATGGAAGACAGAGCAACCTTAGAAGAATAAGTTCCATCACGTGATTAAAACGGTAGAATTATATAAAAACAAAAAACCCTAATGTCTTCCCCTCACTCCATTAGGTTTGCACATCTGCTACAAGAGTGGAGGCAATTTAAGCCCTTGTTGATGTGACTAATCAGGTTAGATAATTGGATTTGTGGTGGATTAGTTAAACAGCAGCCAACCTTTCCTGCCCCAGCAGCTCTCGGATGGAGAGGCAGGTCGGGCCAGCTGTGCACTGGAGCTGTGCACGTGCCCAGCCAGGATATACTCACAGATATTGCCTATAAGAAAAAGGGGCCACACCTCCCGCTTCAGGAGAACTAGTGGCTAGAGGGCAAGTCACAGTGAGAGCAGAATGGAGCTAGAAAAGCTAGAGCAAGTCCACAGATAAATTTCCTCAGAAGATTATTGTAGGATATATTTTTCCTTTCTTTTATCATTTTTACGTTTACTCACATGTGTATACATTGTTTGGGCCACCTCCCCTCACCCCTTCTGGGCAGAACCTGTTCCACCCTCTTGTTCTCCGATTTTGGTGAAGAGAAAACATAGGAGATAATAAGAAAGATATCATGTTTTTGCTAGTTTGATGTAAAGCTAGCTATACAGAGAGAATCCTAGCGTTGCTTCCATGCACTTGTGTATTGCAACCCATGTTGATTCATTTCTGCCGACCTCTTCATTACTTCCTGGTCATCTTCCCATAGTGGCCTCTGCCAGTTTAAGATTACTGTATTTGCTCCTCTACAGTAAGTACATCAACCACATTCAAGTTTTAGGTTTCCTTCCCTCTCCCTATTCCTCCCGTGCATATTCTCTCCTTACTGTGTGAGCCAGGTCCAACAGTATTACTGCATTTGTTTAAGGTCTATAATCCGCATATGAGGGAGAACATGAGATTTTTGGCCTTCTGAGCCTAGCTAACTTCACTTAAGATGATGTTCTCCAGTTCCATCCATTTACTTGCGAATGACAGAATTTCATTCTTCTTTGTGGCTGAGTAAAATTCCATTGTGTATGAATACAACATTTTCTTAATCCATTTGCTGGTAGTGGGGCATCTTGGCTGTTTCCATAGCTTAACTATTGTAACTATTGTAAGACATTTTAAAGCTCCAGCAAGACAGCAATGAGACAAAAAGAATGTGAGGAAGAAGAAAAACAATTCAGAAGCCAACTTCTCATTTATCTTTATTCCAACTGCTCTTGACCTTTATTTTGACTCAAGGACCACTTTAAAAAAATGACAAGTGGTATAAACAGCTTTAAAGCTTTGGATTTTAGTTTTCTGGCCTAGTGACATTTATCTACATCAATATATTTTCCTTCTTTGTCTGAATTTTTAATTTAACAGCAGTTTTCACAACATCTTTCTTTGTGGTTGATTTACATAAAATTCAAAGATCAAATAAATTTTCTGTGTAGGAAAGAGTGACACTGGGACCATGACTTAGAGGAAAAAGGAATAGAGATGGGTCAAATCTTATTAGCAATAATATCAAACAATATCACAATAATGTCAAAGTTAAAAAATATTTTGCATCAGCAGATTCATTTTTGAGAATGCCCACAGGGAAAACTTTCAAAATGAAGTCAAGCAATATGCATGAGTGTATTCAATAGTTATACATAGTAGTGAAAGCCTACAAACAACCTAAATGTCCAGCTAGAGGGAATGGATAGGTAAAAGATAATCTATTATATGAAATATTATGCTCTTGTTAAAATCATGGTTAAAATATTGCAATCGAGGAAAATGCCTTTCATATCTTGTCAAATAGAACAAATGTAACAGAAATGTACAGGTACAGTATTTATATTACATGTGTACAAAGGCTGACCATGAACCAGACAAATACAGTTCTTTTCAAAATGTATTCTCTTTAATTTTATAAGAAAAAATGTAAGGAGACCTTCCTCCCCCAAATAAAGAAAGAGATAAAGGGAGGGAGAGAGGAACGAAGGAGAAGAGAGGCACTAATATCACTCATCCTTGCTCAATTGACACAACACCAGGGAAAATAAAATAAAGCTTTCTGTTCTGTCTCTGTTGGAATCATAAGAAAATGACAACTGCCAGTCACCTTATAGAACCTGCCTAGGGCATCAAGTGCAAAAACAAACAGTGATATCCTAGCAAGGTGTTAGGAACCTTTGCAGTGGGTTTTGGGAGTCTACTGTGGGGGTGTGGAGGTAAATTATTCTTCCAACTATAGGACTCTGTTGATTTCTTGACACTGCCCCCGATCTTCAGCAGCCAGCCCCAGAGAAAAATAGCCTTGCGTAGGCTGCACAGTGCCAACCTGCAGACAATGGGGGCTGCACAGCTCGGAACCCCAGATCAAGGCTGGGGCTCCAGCCTTGCAACAGAGCAGCAGCAAATGACAGAGTTCATGGTGCCAGAAACTATTTTAAGGGCTTTAGATGTTGGATTTTATTTCATTCTCATAACATCCCTTTCTTTTTCTTTCTCTCTCTTTTTTGTTTAATACAGTACTGGGGGTTTGGACTCAGGGCCTTCAGACCTTGAGCCACTCTACCAGTTTTTTTTTGTTGTTTTTGTGACTGGTTTTGATGAGATAGGGTCACACGAACTATTTGCCCGGGCTGGCTTTGAACTGAGATTCTCCTGATCGCTGCCTCCTGAGTAGCTAGGGTTACAGGCGTGAGCCACCGGCACCCAGCATACATCCCTTTCTGGTATGCTATTTTATGTCAATGTTACCACACTGAATCAGACATGTTTATGACCCAGGGAGAACCTTGCTAAGCCTGGGAATCCCACAATACCTGATGTGGGTGTTCAAACTCAACTCTTGCTCACAGTGTAGAGATTTTTTTGATTGCTTTTGTCTCTCTAAGAGCAGCATGGTTCCTCGCTGACTTTGCCTTTGTGCAATAATGGTGAAGACCTGACCAATGAAAATAAATTGTTCAACGCTCCCTTAAACAACCAATTACAAAGATGAGTAAGGAAAATTTACCTTTTGAAGATTAGATCTTACTAAAGTCATACTACCTTAACTGAAGCAATTTTGATCTTTCACTATAGTGATTGTTCTCAAAAATCAAATGCTCAGTGTGTATTTATTTACTTACTTGAATTGCTCTATTTTTAAGAAGGTCACTTTTAATTTAGAGGACCCTCCCATCTCCCCCACAGCCTAGGTTCCTCTTGTGCCTTCTGCAAAGCATCATGGTCAAACTTCGAGCTCTTTAAGGAGAAAGAAATTACATATGTGTGTGTGTGTGTATACAAGGGAGTATTTACGGGTACACATGTGTGTGTGTCTATACTGACCCAAGAATATACAAACAGTATTCTTATTTTCATGGGATCCAGGATCTCAGGCTAAGTTACTCAGATCTTGGCCTTTCTACTGTCACATTATGTACTGAGCACTTTATATACTCTTCCTTTGAGAGATTGTCATTAGTTCCATTGCAGAAATAAAAACCCAGCATGTGCTTAAAAGAATACAAGCAAAGAATGTAGGATTTAAAATAAACACTGCAAGAAGCAGGCAGTCTTGGAAAATACCATATAACTTTGATTAAACATTCTTCATGTGCACATACCATGTAGGGAGGGGAAAGAAAAAGACTTTTATCCAGGACTTAACGTATGAGTACAGATTAAAAATAAGTAATAGTTAAAAACTGAGAACAATTTTCTCTAGAGAGGAAGACAAAAGATGGTAACTTCTTCAATAAGGAAAATCACAGGCTTCTCCTTTCTTGAGTTGTAGGGAATTATGTTTTCATATTTAAAGTCTTTATTTCTAGAATCATCTGTGCATCTCTTTCAAGGATTTTTAGTTTGTGCCCCCCATGTCCCCACACCCCTTTGCACATCTGTGCCTTACCATTTGGAAGCTTCGGGTTGAATGGAATTCACACTGCATCATATCGAAGAAGATGGGGATGGTGGCTTTGCGTAATTCTGTCTCAGGAATTAGTGTCATTTCTAATATTGGGCCCACCATTTCTGGAATGAACTTTATCTTGTGTTGACCTTGGAATAAAGAAATACATCGTTGAGAAATTTTTTAAAAAGTATTTCTAACTTGGGGTTACATACACAAAACAGAGCAATACAGATCATGTGACTTTGAACAGGAGAACTTGGGAACGGGCATCCATTTCTCATCTGCCATGATTGTGAACATTTCTAGCTGTGGGTGTAGAAGTGGACTGTATTCCAAATGTTACAAAGGAAGCCACTCAAAAACCCATCCAATATAAGGCCTATAGTCATGACTTGTCTGTTATAGAAGATAAACTTCCGTTTCATATATAAACAACTGTGTCACATAGACTGGGGACATGCGAAGTCACCTGGTACCCAGTTTTGGATAGAGCAGGGGCTGGGATTAGAAGAGTCAGTACAATGGCAATGACAAGTATGGGAGCTGATATAGGGAGAAAGCAGTCTGTTGGGTACTTTCTCCAACATCTCATGAAGATTTCCTGTGTGGCACCTCCACAAATGACACAGAATTATTTCTATCACATTTCAAATGACAATCATCAAAGCAAATCAAAGGACACCTCAAAGAGTATGGAACTGTAGAAACGGGAACGAGTCTACCTTCTTTGACTACTGGTTAATAGGAAAGGCCTTATTAATCTTATCCCATCTACTTTTCCAGATATAATTTTTGAAGAATTCAGGAAAATGTTTCTAAAAGTTTTTTTTCTTAAAAAAAATAACATAAGCCAGGTGTGGTGGTAAAGGCCCAGCAGGATGTTGGGACCAACTTCCCAGGGCAGCTTAGCAAGGCCCTGTCTCAAAATAAATGAACAACCCAACAACTTCCCACCGACATCAAAACAAATAATACAGCTGTGAATAAGGTTATATACTACCTAACGCTACAATGCACGTATACGAGACAGGCCTAGTGAAAGCCTTGTCTCATTGCATCCTCATGATAACCTCGTGATTGGGTCATCTCCTCAACCCTATTTTACCAATGAACAAATGAGGTGCTTCTTCTGGCAAAAGTCAGGGCTTAGGACCAGATCTAAGATTTCAAAGCCTTATCTGTAACCATGCTTTACTGATCCCTTCCCTGCCTGCTGGTCATAGGCACACATCTCCACAACAGGAACTGTGAACATCCATACCACCCCCTGTTGTGTCTGTTGCCATCATAGGACAGAGGTAAGTAACCTGTCACTAAGTCCTCCCAAAAGTAGACTGATTTTTTTGCAAGCACCAGAACTTGTTTTCTGTTCTATTTTAATCGTTTTTGTGGCAAACCTTGGTAGTGTTTTTTTGTGGACCTCTGTCTTTGACTCAGACACAGGCTCAGAAACACAATCGGAAAGTCCCACAGTTCAGCAGAGACACCAGCAAGTGGCCCCACGGAGTGGTCAATAACTCCCTGCTGCTAGTTGTGGGTTTTGCTGCCACTGTGCCCTGCCACAGCAGTGGCTCCCATGATTTCTGGCTGTGTGACTCCTTAATTCGCGAGGCCTGGGGCACAATATAGGTGATCTTATACAGATTTTGAAGCCATGGAAGGCAGAGGGAGAAAGCAGCAGCAATGCCCAAGGTCACTTCCCTGACAGGACTCTGAGCCTCTAGAAGGAAACTGCTGGAAACTGTTTCTATACAAAGGGTGTCTGCCTTGCTAAAAGTGACACGAGAAAATACAGAGGCAAGTCCTACCAAGTGTGGTCTTTTAAAATCCTATCCTCTCATCTTTATCTTCATAAATATTTTATCTTCATGTCACCCCACTATATCTAACATCATCTCATTTCCAACGTGTAACAGAAGTCTGCACAAAAAATTATATGCTTGAGTGAATTATTTATGAAATTATCTTATTAACATCAGCAATTTATCCAGAGTTAATCAATCTAATACTTTTATTCAATCAGAAAACAGAATGGATACACCAAAGAATTTACTTTTCTTTACAACTCAAGCAATACAGATTTCTGTAAAGACAGTCATTAAACAAATTTGGGTATCATAAAGTAACTACATTTAAGAAGATATTCTCAGTTAGCTTAAATGAATTTTTATTGGGTGTACACGTGCAAAATGTAACCTTCAATAAGGAACCTAAATTTAATTAAAAGCATATTTTCAACTTTTACTAAATAACTAATATTTTGACTAAGGCTATAATAGCATGATTCTCATCACTTCCCCAAATGCTTAATGTTTTTGAAAGGCACATAACTGCTGCAAAGCACTCTCTTGAAAATGCCATTCTATTCAGTGTCTCAGGTGACACTTTTGTTGTATTATGCCTAAAAAATGTCAGAGCCAATGCTTCAGAAGACAGATGCTCATGACACAGAGTTGTTCATCAACCACAATCTCAATGTCATAAAGTTTCCTCTCACCAGCAGTGTTTATTGTTCCGAGCTGGGAGGAACATATGAGGCAGAAACAAGTGGCTGTAGAGGTGGGGATCAGAGAACTAAGGTTCAAAAAGAGAGGGTTTCCTAACTACTGGTCATCACCCTTCCCATGAGACAGGTAATGCACTGATTTGTAGCAGCCTGAGATCTTTGTAGAGTGAAACCCTAAGGACTGGACGGCCCTAAACCAACAGTCCCCAAGGTGGGTGAGGAGGGTGAGTGAGGGTCTCCAACGCTCTCATGTTATGTTATTTGGCATTTGCATTATGGGCTTCTCCTGGAGCACATCTAGCTCAAATTTAACAATGAACTTGTGTGTGGATCAATGAAAGTCAAAGAGACTACTGAAGTACAGAAAACCAAGAAAAGAGGTTATACTTTTCTTTTGGAGAAGAGGGAAGACTGAGCCAACCATCAGGGTACAGAGAAACATTTCACCTTCTGGCTCCTTGTCAGTCTTCCAGTTACACCACCAAGTACCATAAGATCTACCTGAAGTTTATTTTACTTACAGAACCATCTCCCTCCTCCCCAGTGCTCACTTTGCAAGTTGGACTTCCTTCAGCACCTTACGCTGGGTGTCTGGACAATCACTTTAAAATTATTATTGATCAGAAATCCTGGCCATTCAATATAGTCTTATCCCTGGGAAAATCTCTGCATGCACAAGGCAGGTAGGGCAAAACTTCTGCTACCCAGCCAAACCTGTCATGGCACATTGTGCAGTATAATGGTTTTCATGAAAGCAAACAATTTACCCATTCCCCAAAATAGCCTTGAAGGGAATTCCTGCAAGAAAATATCCCAAGCTGAACAGGGCCCCAAAAGATTTTGCTGTGAGCACATTTGTTCAGCTGGCTCCACAGCTGGATGTCATAAACAAAAAATGTAGGGCTGGAGGTGTGGCTCAAGTGGCAGAGCACCTGCCTAGCAAGTGCAAGGCCCCGAGTTCAAACCCCAGTACCAGAAAAACAAAAACAAAATAACAAAAAATGTAAGTGGAGGTGACCAACCCAGATGGAGATGAGGTGGTCTTATGGGCTGCCACACGGTGAGTTTGATAATCACTGAAGAGCTGGTAACTAAGTACAACTCTCCTCTTTTCTTTTGAAAGAGAACTTGCTTTGAATTTCCCCATTCACACTCAAAATATGGTAGGTTTGGTAGGGAAAACAACCCACTGCTCTGTCCCAAAGGGCAGCGCCATGCAAACTGAACAAAGAGACCCCAGATCACTGCCCTGGGGCTCGTGAAGGTACAGTCTGAGACCCTCGTTGCCACAGACCACACATGGTACTGTGATGACTCAAGGAAAGCATGGTGTAGAACATTTGGTATGAGGCCTGATCCAGTGATCATTCTAAGGCGATAAGTACACCTGATCTGACTTCTATTTTCATTTTTTTGGCAGAGCTGGCTTGATGTGGGTGCCAACATATTCCCAAACCTGAACCCATTAGAAAAAGTAAAACTAAAAGCTGTGTAGAAAATAGGCTGTGTATATCCTGGGAAATTGAGATGTGTTGTCATGAATTCTGAGAGTGGCAGCCTGCACAATGACACTTACAGCCAGATTCAAACACCTGAGATCTCACCAGGAAGGGGCTGGGTTGCCCAAGGTGACCCTACAGAGCTATTCTGAGTCATTTTGAGGGGCTGCTGGGGGGGTGGTGACCCCATGCCAGCAGGTGCTTTGTTATTTCTTTAATTTTTAAAAATAACTTAATAACCCAATCCTGGTGATTGATTGTAAGTTCTTGCTAATTCCAAGTCCTTGCCCTTAATTGGCCAAGGTCATGGTTTCCTTTTGACCCTCTTGTGTGCTTTTCATGCTGAAGTCAATGCTTCTAGCTAAAGAGCTACAAAGCATGCATCTTATGCATTAATCACTGTATTCAAATCAGCAAGCAACAGGATGAAATGGGGGAGATTTGCTCTTAACTGTGTCTTCCATACGGCAAATCAAATGCTGGGCTTATTTGCAGCATAATGACAGATGAAGTCAAGAGAATCAACTGCTCTGAAATGGCTTTAGAAACTGAAGCCAGACCTAAGAGTACCTCCTCAGAAGGCCAGTGTTTTCCAAGGGCCTGGACAGCCTTCATTTGAGAGCCCAGAGAAACTTGCCCTTCCCTAAGCCTCTCTTTCCTTCCCTCATTGCTATGTTGGCAAATGGCATGGAATGAAATGGGGGCAGTTTCAATGGTGGTCAATCCTAGGGATTCCAGAGATACCACTAAAAATACTTACTAAAAAAAAACCCTAAGACACAGAAACTGTGAAGGCAAGAATGGCCATCTGTCAGGGTGACCTCTGGCCTGTAGGGCTTGAGCTGGGCTTTGGAGGCTCCCTTGTAACACAAAACACTATCATCTGAAAGCAGCAGTGACAATGTCCTCTTGGAGGTGGTGCCACTCATTTAGGAAGGGCCAGGCTAAAGTGTGGTCAGCCTGTGTCTAGAAGTGCCAAAGGTCCATGTTAGGAGCACAGATGAAAGGTGGAGCCCATGACCTCTCCTTCATGGACACTGGGCCTAGAAAAGCTCTGGCTCCTGTCATCCAGCAGAAAGTGTCCCTGGAAGCCACTTTTCTGCAGTCCCTTCCACCTCTCTTGCCTCTCCTTCTCTCCCACGGAGCTGCATACCATCCCTGCTTGGTGTGAGTCTTGCCATCTGGTCTGCCAGGGCAAATGACAAATGCATCTGTCAGAGCATGATTTTAAGAAAGAACATGGAAAGATCAATTAGAATGAATCACGAATGGTCCTCTTTGTTCTAAAAGTCTTGCTGTCACTGGATCATCGTATATATGTGTCATAGAATTATTGAGCCTTAGGATTGAAAGGCTCTTGAAAAATTCAGTCAACCTCTTCATCTTATATCTTAGAGGGCCGATGGAGGGAAGCAGAGAAGGACTGTGTCACCTGTCTGAGGTCATATGGATAATGTAGGACTTATCAAGTTTCTTCACTCCATCTCAGGGCTCCCACTCTGCCCCAGGGCATGGTAGGAAGGCTAAGGACAGGCCTTATAGGTTCCATGTTGCAGAGATCATCAGGCTTCTGGTGCCAATTTTGAGAGGAGGAAGCCCAACCCAGACAATGTAGAGGCAAGAAATGGAACTGAAGCCACCTGGGCAAGGCCATTCACCCCTCCATGGCCAGAGACTCATGGCACAAAGCAAGTTTGGGGACAGATGGCTGGGCCAGAAAGAGTTTAATGTCACCTAGGAGGGAGGCCTGGGTCCCAGATGGTGCCTTAAAGACACAGAAAGTACCAAATTATCATCAGACATTAATTTCTTTAAGGAGCATATCTAAAAGAATTACATGTCATATTGATTAACAGAAAAATCTGTTATTATTGTTAATGATGAAAGCTGATTGGAAAATTGCATGAATTAATTAATTTATGGATAAAATTGTGTTAGCTTCATATCATAATCATGCATATCCCTTTTATGCTGCCACCACCTGGTGGTAGGGTACCTAAATACAGGATCTAGTTTTGAGCAGGAGAATGAACCTTTTGGATGTTAGATTCTGCAAAACAAATTAATAAGTGATGGCCAATGTCACGTGCCAACAAACATGGTTTAACACATCAGAAACTGATGGATATGCCAGGCATAGTGATGCATACCTATAATCCCAGCACCCAGGAGATAGAGGTAGGAGGACTGTGAGTTTGACGCTGGCCTATACCACAGTGAATGGATAAAGAAAACAGGGTGCATATTCACAATGGAGTATTATTTGGCCATAAAAAATGAAATTATGTTGTTTACAGGAAAACAGGAAGAAATCATCATGTTAAGTGAAATAAGCCAGAATGATAAAGACAAATTTCACGTGTTCCCTCTCATATGCAGAATCTAGTCCTTAAAAATAAGTGCCAGGAATGGAAAACAGGTTTTGCTTGGGGGAGGGTACCACTGGGAGGCGTGGGGAGGTGAAACGAAAGGGGAGAGGAGGATATGGTTGAAGTAATTTATGTACATGTATGGAAATAGAACAGAGAAACCTGCTCAAATTGTTTTAAGCAGGGTTAAGGGAGACATGAGGAGAGATGGGGTGAATCTGATCAGGGAACATTGTATGTGTGTATGGAAATATCACAATGAAACTCCTTTATACTACTCGTATATGCTAATAAATAATGTTTAAAACAAAAAGAAAGTTGCTGGGGGCATGGTTCAAGTGGTAGAGCACCTGGCCTAGCAAGCAGAAGGTTCTCAGCTCAAACTCCAGTACCACCAAAAATATAAATAATGAAAAAAGAAAGTAAAAAATAAGGAATGCTGGTGATGCCTAGGAGTGAAGGAGCGTTCCCTGGACACAGGAGGGCGCTTTCTTGATTTCTTCACTTGCCCCACAGTCAAAGTTCTCGCTTTCCCTTTGGTCTGTCTCCGGATTACTGAAAACCATTATTACAAAGAGTAGCAATTTCTGTCCCAAGAACAGAAGCAACTCAGATTCTTAAGATGTCCCAACATGAGCTTAACATGATGATTTCTTCCTGTTTTCCTGTAAACAACATAATCCCTGTCATGACCAGCAGGGATTCAAGATGAAATTGAGGCTACTCACCAAGGTTGTACCACATGTCTCTGATTTCAAAGCCAATCTGTCTCCTCATATCTCCATACCTGGAAAGCAGGGAAAGAAAAACACTGAGTCACTCCACGAAGCTTCTAGAAATCAGACTCACAACATTTTCAAGTGCAGGTAAGGCCTCCCACCATGGAGACAAATAAACATGGTGTTGGAGTTCCAACTTCATTTGCTACCAGCAAGACTCCATGGATGAGAGATCCAGCCAGGAATCTCTCTCTCATCCCCCGGATGACAGAGCATCCCGTGGGAGCGTGGAGAAGCTGTGACAAGCAAAAGCATTTTGCTTTCTTCAGTCTCCTGGCTCCTGGGCCTAAGGGGAGTTTGTTTGCCATGCATGGTGATCTAACGTCTGGGCACAGAATAACATTCTTCTGCACACAGTAAGCAGCTTTTCCATGTTAAAATTAAACCTTGGACTCAGGGAAGGTCACTTCCAAATGTCCCTGCATTCTTCAATATCATTTTAAATGTAAGGAATTGCTTAACATCAAAATATGTCAACAAACGCTCCACAGTTTTTTGTTTATCAGGAAAATAAATGCTAATTTTCCTCCCGGTGGGCGAAGAGAGGAGGTGTGTGTTTCATGAGTAAACAGAATTTGATGCTTCAGAAGATAAACCTTTATTAGTTTGTGAGCAATTTAACTTTTTCCTTTATTGCCGAAGGAAAAAGCTGATTATATTAAAAATAATAATTTGCAAAATTATCATACAGCATTGCTGCTTAGCAGCTGTGGCTTGAACTTGCTCTGTACATCCTTATGGCAGTTGATGGGCAGAGGAAAGCTGATCGCAGATGATGGTGTCACAGTTCTGGAAGCAAAGACCTTGGCTGGGAAACCAACAACCTCAGTCTGCTGCCACCTTATTAGAGTCTCTAGTGCCCCAAGCACCTGTCTGTCACTCATAGCAGGAGGGCTGTCAAGTGTGCCTATCTCACCTGGAAGAGAGCTCTCCCTGGTGTGGGAGGCTCTTGTGCAGATGCATCTTAAATCACTTCTACCCAGGACAAAGTGGAACCTACAAGCCCAGCCCAGCAAGTGATGAGTCAGTGAATCCAGGGGGATCTTGATGAGTGACAAGCCTATCACCAAGGCCACAGTGAGGAGAAGCCAAGAGAGGTATTGAAAAGCACAGCAGCAAAGCCACTGAGCCTGAGCTTCTGGGTGACCCCTTTTATGTCTAACTCGCACCCTAAATAGCCTAAGGGCTAGGCGACCTGCGCATATCCTTTCCAGGTTTCCCAGTTCCCATTTCTGCCTCTGCATGAACATCCAAGGTCTCCCAACAGCCACTGCAGACCTGACCTGGGGATGATGAAGTTGACAGCGTGGTACCTTGGCAGCTTATTATCCTCCAGCATTTACCGGGGGAGAGGAACTCAGAAAGTAAACCATGCCCAGACCTAGCTCTGACTTTTCCTCCAAGGTTAGTGAGAATTTTGCTGTCTAGTGGAAGAACTGTCTTTCAGCAAAGTAGGCATCCAACAAGCCTGGGGCATGGCATCAGCGGGAGGAGGCCTAAGAACACAAACGCCTCTAGCACTCTGGCCTTTGCAGCTACCTGTTAAATCCTCAACACACCAAGGAGGTCAGAGGCCCCAGAGGAGGTGAAAACCAAGAGCAGTGATGTTGACCTATCCGTTACTAACTGAAGCTTTGGCCATCCTCACATTGAAGCTACATGAATTACTTGTCATCCTGAGATACATCTGAAACATAAGGATGCCCAATGTTTAGGCTGATCTTAATCAGTGTCTCTGCCTTTCTGGCCTCTGACTCAACTTCTTGCAGGTCCTTTAGGGATTCAAAGGAAATCCTAAAGCTGGGAATTTAAGTAGAGGAGACCCATGGCCACAATGGGCCCAACACTGGTGGTCTTTATGGCTCAGGAGTAACCCAGGGTGGTGATCTGCCATTTCTCCAGTGCTGGTATGGAGATATAGATGCTGGGAGGCATGCTTGGGAAGGGAGCCAGGGAAGGCTGTCCTCGTTGCCTCTCCTGCAGGGGACGAAGGAGGGTGAGGGCTGGGGATTTCCACCCTCAGTTCTATTTTCCTGTCCTTAAGTGGAAAAAGACTTGCATTGGCAGTATTTGAGAACTGGGGATGAGCCTATTGTACATGGCTCCCAAAACACTGTTTAATAGTCAAATAAGACAAGGCGCCCAAGCCCGGAAACTATGACAAAGAAGAGTAGGGAGCTGAATGGTGAAGGGCAAGATTGGATTTCCCTGGCAGTGAAATTGATCTTTTCTTTAGTTTTAATAAGAAGGCAGCTCTGATGAATCTATACATGCCTCAGAGTAATCCCCAAACAGAGTCACAGCTGTCACCAGACCTCAAGAGGGCTTCCTGAAACATTTCTACCTTCCTCCCATGGAAGAGAAAAATGACAATTGAGAGTGTCTCAGCTGAAGCTCATTACCTGGAAGAGAACTTGGAGCCGCTGGCAACCCCAGAGATCACAATTAAGTTCCTCTCTAACAATTTATAGTTGAGAGAGCTGGACCAGTCCTGAAGGGAGAAGCAGAATGACTTGGCTGCCATCACAGGGCAAGGACAGTCCAAGTTCCCAGACCTCAAATCCATTCTTCCCTGCACAGTACACGTCTGGTCCCAACAAACACTGTACACCTTTCATAGTGCTTTTGTTCCATTTTTTCCTTACTAGAAGACTATGAGGTGAGACGCAGACAGCACTGGAATTCTTCCAATGAGGGGGCTGACCATCATGGTGCCAAACCCACGCCTGGCGCCACCAGGATTACAAGCACATGGAGCTGGAGTCACCTCGTTCTGTCTGTTGGTTCTCCACATCTAGCATCCCTGTGCCCACCCACAAAGTGAGCATAGGAATGTATGCTCCAGAGGAAGCCGTTCCTAGACCCAGGGAGACCTAGAATCCTAAAACCAGGCCTATGTTAGCTCTTGGCACTCTGCTTCTTCAGCCTGAGACCAGAAAAATCATGTCCACCAGAGCCAGCCCAGGCTCAGAGTGAGGCAACCTCAGCCCAAAACTAAGCACAATTGGGTCAGTCATTTAAGTGCCCTCACCTTCAGTCTCCTTATTTGTAGTATGGGGAAAATGGCTTATGATGCCCATCTCCTAGGCTTTTGTGAAGGATGCAAAAGAAATGACACCTCTGTCTATCCCAGCTGATACTCAAGCCAGGTTAGACCCTTCCTTTGAAACTTCAGGTGGACCACCTCAGAGTATCCCCTTCAAGGTTGAACTGGTCATTAGATCAATTCATTTAGAATTACTGAGTAATTCTAACAAGACCCACAGACCAAAGGAGACTATTAGCATGACAAGACAGACAGACAGACAGTAATCTGATAATCACACAAGATATCTACCTATCTTGTATACATGATACCTGTGAGTGTGGCATTATATGGAAACAGGGTCTATGCAGATATAACCTAATTGAGAAGAGGGCACACTGAAGTGGAGTGGGCCCTACATGGAACAACTGGTGTCCCTCTAAGGAGGGAAAGATTTAGAGACACAAGACATGAAGAAGAATCTAATCTGAAGACAGAGCAGAGACTGGAGGAGATGCCTGCAACAGATTCTCCCGGTGAGCCATCAGAAGACCCGACCCTGCTAGCACCTGCATTTCAGACATCTGGACTCCACAACTGTGACACACTTTGCTGAATGACCCCCAGCTTGTGTTCATTATTATGGCAGATGGACCTAGGAAATTAATACAATGGCCCATTCAGCTAACATCCTGGTGACCACAGTTTGAAAATTGCTTTCTTAAGGAGAGAGAATGGAATCAGACTGGAGGAACTCTACCACTTCATGACAGGTAGTTTGGACATACAGTCCAAACTTGATAAGGGAACAGACTAAAGGGTCAGGGACGGGGGGCAGGGAGGGAGGGAGAGAGAGAGAGAGAGAGAGAGAGAGAGAGAAGGAGAGAAAGGATGGGCACTTTTATTTTACTTAGTGGGAGATAGTAGGTTTCTAGATAGGCGAGGGGGGACAGGACCCCAGACGGGACCAATGGGAATCAACCTTGTTTGACATAGGGCTGATATAGGGGTCCTACTTACATTGAGCGCTATCATATTTCCCAGGGCAGTGTCACCAATGTGTGTGGGACATCTAACTTTGCCAACAAGAAGTTGGCACAGTATTACTGCTTATGAAGTCTGTCTCCCTAGTCCCCTTCTAATTCATAAGGCGATTTTGTTTTGAATACTTTGAGTGTCCTAAAAGTAATTAACATAAATATAAATTACATCGATCACATAGCCTGTTATCATCTGTAACACAGAATTATAGCTTCTGATGAGGTCACATTGCCAAATGGGGCTTATCACAGCATATTTACTTCCTTTCAGTTTCCCCAAAAGTTGCCTCTGTAGTTTGACTTAACATGTAGGCATTTCAGAACCCAGTGTTTGGTCAGATGGAGATATTTTTGTTTCTCTGGTATTCTGGTCTAGTTGTGAAACCTGTCTTCCTAGAAGGTTGTAGACTTCAAGAGGAAAAAAAAGTGAAAAGATAACAGAGCTGGGCTTTGCCATCAAACTTTATATTCTCATGCTGAAGACTTTAAATGGGTGTTTGATGCTCAGGCATGTAGAGGCCCAATTCATTCTTGAGCCCCTTGTTCTTCCAGAACACAGAGATCCTTTGCAATCATGTGACAGACACATCATTCCAAGGGGGGACACTTTGTGGCTTGCATACTAAAGTTGTCAAGCTGGCTGCCAATCAAAAGTCAACTTTTTAACGTATTATTCTTATTTTCTGAGCCCCAATAATGAGGACGGGGATAGGAGGAGGGAGTGACAGTCAGACTTAGCATTCAGAGGATGTCTCTGTCCTTCTTTCTGAGTCCCGAGCATCAAGGATGTCTGAAGGGTGAGCCTGCTAATTTTCTTATTATGGGCTTTGAGTCTTAGGAGTTATTATTTTGTGGCTCACTGACAAAACTTGCTCTCAATTTGGGTTTGACATAATCAGTTCTCTCTGCGTTATGGACCATTCTTTTACGCTATTCCCATGCACTTTGGGGAATGTCTTTGGAATGGCTATCCTAATTATCCCCAACTTCTGTCACCGGAAGGACAGAGTACTAAACAATAGGGAATGGACAGGCAGGTCTTCTGATACTAGAATATTTCACTGTTTAGAGCCACACTGGCATGAACCAGGCAGAGGTGAGGAGCTGGACGGCTTGGCAGTGAGTAAAGAAAGATAGGCTGAGAAGAGCAGAGGCCACCTGCTCAGAGGAGTCCTAGAATAGCAGATTGGCCCACATGGGCACAGTCCTGAGGCTCGATAAAGGCTTCCCCGTAGACACAGAAAAGCAAGTGAATCATTACCCATCATTACCATCCAGCCACTGGCTCAGGCCCACGGTCAATCTTCATGTCACAAGCCCCTTATGCCCAGCCCCAACCCTCCAGGCCCTGCTATTCCCTGATGTTTGTACAACATGAAACAGCCCTTTGCTTCTAGATCAGGCCAAGCCCTTTGAGGTTCCGTGTCTCTTTCTGGGATGACTGCTGTTTAACTGTTGGCTCTGGTCAGTGAAGGTGATAGACCACTCAACTTCCTTCCCCTCCCAGCCTGAAATCCATGATGCCAGGAGACCTTTGGGCTTCTCAGGCTGGGCCTTGCAGGCCCATCTCCCAGCCATTAGGACCCTAGTTACCACCCCACTTCTGCCACACTCTACTTGTTAGCTTTGCATTTTTGCCTCTCTGCTTCCCCCACTAACCTCTTAATGCTGTCATTATGGCATCTGCTTCTCCTCTCTGTTCCGAGCACTGGGACTGCACAAAGAGTAGGCTCAATCCCTTTTCACTGGATAATTTTAGATGAACGAAAACATACAGTGCCTAGACAGTTTAAGCATTTGGGTAGGAACCCTCAAAATATTTCTTATGCAGGTTTTGATATTTAGAAATAAATTGCAAGTGGACTATGAAGTGTTTAAAGTCTGACAAGAGGCCTGAAGAATGTGACAAGCTCTGGTGGCCCTCTGTGTGGTTTATACTGCATAGTCTCACAAATCAGGTCAGACTTATCTGAGACATGAGCATATTTTGGCTAGCCTCCTCCATTGCCTGTCATTGCGACACAAGGAGCCCATGACCCTGGAGAGGACTCTCAGACTCACAGAGAACCCAAGCCACCCTACAGAGTCATGCAGAGACAACTTCTAAGATGCTTGGGTCTTTCCCTTGGGAAATCCATGAGAACATTTAGAAGGGTAACTCCACAGTCTGTTGCTGCTGCAGTGATAAGAGAAATGCCAATGCCTGATCCAGAGGCCCTGTTGGCTCTGGAAGGAGAGACACCAACTGGCTGTGTTTAAATTTTCTTTGTCTTTGAAGCCTTTTGTTAGGTGGGAAGCAAACATTTTCTCTGGCAACCAAAGTCCTGTGTGGTTAAGGCATTTGCTAACATTGCTTTAGCACACCAGCCTGAGAATGGGCCCAGTGCAGAGCCGCCACCCTGGCCCCTGGGGCCTCTGCATCAAAGTCTTCAGAGGCAGGTTCCATTTTCAACGGACCTCTCTTCTGAGGACACCTCCAAGCATGGGAAGTGCAGGAAGCGGGCTCTGAAGTCAGACACTGTGGGTTTGCATCCCAGCACCACCCCTCAGTGAGCACAGCCTGCACGGCTAAGGATCTCCCCGGAAGGCTAAGTCCTCCTTCTGTGGGATGGATAAAGGGGACCCGTGTTCCAGGGAGTTGGGTAGGCCCTCAGCGAGCTGTACCTGCGGTGGTAAGGGTATGCAGGGGATTTCTGTTAATACAACAGTGGTTTCCACTACTTAGCACGTGAACAGGACAGCAATAAGTCTAGGCATCAGGCTCACTTCCTACTGGCCCTGTGACAGTCACAGGGCAGGGCAGCCTCTAAAAGGTCCAGCCTGGAAGAGTCTGTGGACTAATGTGAGTGATTAAGAACTACGCAGGCTCTGAGGAGATGCACTGCACGAGTAGCCCTGGGTGAGCACCCATTCTGCCCCGCACCGTGCCTGGCTTGGCAGATACATTTCTACTTCTCAACACTGATCACTGTCTACCTCCACAGTTCTTTGACAGCACTCAACCAGACAAGGGAGCCCAGAGAACAGCTGGCCAGGGGCAAGCTGACTTTTAGTTGCAAGGATGCAGATCGAAGTCTTGAAGGTCCCCAAAGCAACACAGATTAAAACCGTGTGCTGGAACATACTTTGCATTTTTCTAGGTGTGACAGCTAGTGACTCGAGCAGTCTGTGCTTTACCTGATCATCTGGAAAGCATGGATGATGAGAGGACTTACGACTGGTCTTGCTTTTTAATGATTATATGTGAAAATGCAAACCAAGTGCTCATAGTACAACTCAGTAAATTATTTGCTGAAGCACATCTTACTCTTTAGAGATAATCTGTTTTCCATTTGCCCTGTAAGGAAGAGAAACACTCAGGGCATAGAGAAAGGCTGAGTGGCTGCTACCTTCTGAGATTCCTTTTGGAATCTCTGACTGAAAGAGCAGTCTAGGGACAGTCAGATATTGCACAAGTAATAGAACGATGACCTGGCAAATGGAGGCCATTCCAGAATCTTCTCAAGAGTCATCTGAAAGAGGAACAGGGAGCAGAGAGAAATTAGTGCAACTGAACAGAAAAAGAGGAGGCAGTGCTCAGAGCATCCAGACATTGTGAGGAAACCCAAAAGTGATTTTCTTTCTTGATGCTGGAGCAGAGCAGTGCAGGATGCAGACTGGGGTGACAGAGCTGAAGGTGCCTGGCAAGGACCTTGACCCTCATGGAGCTTTGTCAAGGTTGGCTTACAAGGATTCAAGTGTGAGTCCAGTCCATTCAAATTTACCCAGAAGAAGATGGGTAATCTGCTACCAAGAAGGAAGCCATCAGTAGCTCAAACTCCACTATGAGTTGCAGGATAATCCAAACAGTGCCCACAGCTTCCACAATTCTCTCTTTTTAGAATCAAGGTTGGAGAATTAAGCAATAAAGTAAACCACATGTGTAAGGACACCACTGTAGTGCACAGCAAATGTCATTATCTCCAGAAATTCAAATTTTGTGTTGTGCTAACCATCTCGAATTGTACTGACTTTGAACCTACCAAGAAGAATCCTGCAAATTCAGATCTTGATTCACAGGTTAGAAAAGGCAGCACTGGATTCATGATTTAAAACCACCCTTTCATTACACTGTGATTACATCTCAATTTGTACCCAGTTGGCTTAGAGACGACAAGAAAATTACACTAATAGAGCTGGAGGCTCCTGCCCACAATGTCAGAGCTGGACGAGGACTTACTTGTTAAGGATTTTGGCTCTCTTAGCGCTTGAAAAATTCTCCAGTTGCAAGGACTCTTGAGTGAGGAAAGCGACAGCCAGGTGAAAGTAGTTGTTCCACAACTGAAAACCAGAAGAGGGGAGATGCTGAGTTGTTGAACAGCTTACACAGGCGAGTTGTTGAACAGCTTAACACAGGATCTCAAAAACACTCTGGGACATGTATCTCCTCTCTCTCTCTCTCTCTCTCTCTCTCTATATATATATATATATATGTATGTATGTATAACTTATGAAATGTTTAAAAAACCAGAGAACAGCTATGCAGTCCTGGAGGTATGGTTCACGGCTCAGCATGGAGCTTAAATCCCAGCTCTACAATTCACTAGCGTACCTAATCTAACCTCTCTCTGCGCTTCAGTTTCCTCACTGGTAAAATAGAGATTTCAACAGTATCTACCTCACCTGCTTGCTGGGAGGATCAAAGGACTAAATATATGTAGAGTTGTAGGCAGGGTGGTGTTGAGCCATGTGGTAAGCACTTAACACTTAATAAATGTTAGCTGTTGCTGTTATCATGCTATGGAGCCCCTTACTGAAGGACAGTATAGACTTCCATAATTTATGGTCTCTATTGTTCCAAAATTATGCATCCACTAGACAATTATGGGAAATAGAAACAGATCAAACACTTAGTTCAAGGGCTTATGGACTATATGTGTTTTGACAGGCAATGGTCTATAGGAGAAATCAGTGGATGTTGTTTACTCATTTACAAACCAGGGATAATAAGCAAATGAAATAGCTCTGAAGAGTTATGAAAAAGTATAGTGTCCACATTATCTGTTTTTAATTACCTGGGAAGGACGTGGAAGTTTAAGAGCATTCACCGGATCTGAGAGTGTGTGGTGCTCCCTTTATCCAGCCCTTCTTAGGAACTGCCCTTTTTGTAGTAATGCACCAAGGACTCTGACCGCCTCAGAACTAAATAAGGAGGTGATGTTACCCCATCTCACAGAGGGAGATGGAGACTTGCCCAAGGGTACAGGTGACATTAGAAGCTGAGCAACCCTATGGCACAGTTCATATTCCCACAAAAGTGCTTTATTTTTGGCCTGTTTTGTAATTATACATATATAATTATAGTATATATATACATAAATTATAATATATATATATATATATATAAAGGTGGCCCAACACCTCCCTCCTATGTCCCTCTTACCACTGACAAAAACCAGCAGCCCCTGTCAATTGCTCTCTGAGAATCACAGTCAGCACTACGGCTAGCAAGGGACCCAGGTATGCATGGACCCAGAACACGATTTAACTTATTCCAATATCTTTACAAGTATCAATGGCAACAACACATGGATGCTTCCTTTTAAATGACATCATCACTGATTCTTTATTTCTTCTTTTCATTTATAGGACGAGGACTACTGTGCAGCCAGATGCACTCCTAGGTGGCCCGTGACTCTTGCCACAGCCTTTGCAAACAAGAAGAAACATGCCCATCACACCTGCCACAGGGCAGAGCTCAGAACCTAAAAGCACATGGCTTTCAAGGTGCTCAGGTCCAGTCTGAGAACCCAGGGATCTGTACTCATGAAACAGCAAAAAGCACAGGGATCACTGACTTTCTGGTAAGAAGGGTCCGTCCCCAACAGTAGCCACAATCATAGCATCCAGGAATCTTCCCACCAAGTCAGTCACGAGACCAATATGGATCAAACCAGAAAACTTCTCAGGGACACAAAAAAGAAGACCGATATGAGAAAAATAACACTGCAAAGTATTTCTCTCAAATACTGTAAAATTCCTAGGCTTACAAGTTCAACAGAATTCCAGTTAATATCTAAGCAAAATGGTTTCTTTTTAAATGAAACCCAACTAGCTGATTTTAAACTTCATAGGAAAGAGGAAATGCTCAAAAACAGCTATGATAATCTTATAACAGAAAACTAACAGGGAGGTATTGACCCTACTAATAGCTGAGAATAAAGCTGTAACAAGGAAGCTACTATAGTTACAACACAGTAAACAGAACTGGTGCAGAAGTACATTTGCAGTTATGCTAATGGTGGCATTTCAGATCGCTGGTGAGAGAACCTACTCAAGAATGATGTGGGGGGAAAGTGAAGTTAGACCTGTACCCCTCATACTAGCTCCCAATCCCAGATGGATTAAACACCTGAAAGTTGAGAAAGAAAGCATAAAAAGAGTTTAATTTATAATACTGGGGTAAGAAGACATTTATAAACATAAAACCTAAAATAGCCCTCTCTAGCAAAACATAAAACACAAAACCAAATAGTCATAAAATGAATGACAGAGTTGACAACAAAAAAGTTAAATATTTCTACACGATAAGCTTAAACCCATGACTAGGGTATAGCAAGGATTCCAACTTTTTTTTTTTAAAGACAAATAGCCCAATAGAAAAATGAGCAGAGGAAATGGTCAGACAGTCAATAGTAGACATCCTCATAGCTGGCATGTATTTTCAGCTTAACTAGTCATCAGAAAAATTCTAATGAAAACAAGAATCCACAATTTTCAAGAAAGTAGTAGAGAAGGCTCTAATAAGTGGCTGCCCTCATAAGAGGCTGGTGTGACTCCTTAAGCATTTCAGGTGGGTGTGTGTCACTGTCCATCAAGCTTCAAGTTTCTTGCAGTTTTCCCTGGCATCAACCTACTCTCCACAGTGCATGCACCGAGGGGCTCATATCAGTCCATGGTATCAGGGCTCAGGACAGTGACGAACTAGAAACCTGCAGGCCATCAGAGCAGGGGTGGCTAAGGAGGTGCTGGTACCCTCGTGCTGTGAAATGTGACAGGACTGTAAAACACAGGGAACGAGCCAATTCATGTGAACATCAAAGAGCAAGCACCTAAGTCCACACGCGTGCTCGCGGTGTTGGGAGGAGAGCAGAGCCACAGTTGTAAGTGCCCCGGCAGAGAGGGAATGAGAGTTGTAAAAGGATGTGTGTGGGAGGATCTCATATGTTACTTGATTCCAAGTAAATTTTAAAATTTTAAATTAAAAAAACGTAAAAGAAACAAGGTCGCAGATGCCTCAGAACTTACCTAGCAAACCAAGTATCACAGCTGCTCTAAATTTTCTGAAGGCAATGCAAATGGAAAAAGACACAGTATCTAGTTTTTGTGATCTGGTAGACATTTCTGGATCATCTACTGAGTGGAACATGTTCCTTCTCAATGAATAACCCCACCCAGGAAAACAAACATAGCATTTGCGGGTAGATGCTTCTTTTTCATTTGCAAATTTTAGTAAACTATTGTAAGCAACAATGATGACCAATGAGTTATTATTAGAAACACATCTAGAGTACAAGGACTGAGAGCCACAAATTCCAGACGCAAAGTAAGAAATCATGCCACACACACCACACACACACACCACACGCACACACCACACACCATATTCCACAGACACACACACCATGCACTGAAGAGGTGTTCCTGAAACTGATGGCTGGCTGATGACAACCTTGGGTTTGGGTTTGTGCCACTGCAGGTGGAAACAGTTTTTATAGCAAGTTGAGCTCTGTGAAGCCAACCTGCTTCTCCTCCACTGACCCCTTCTTCCCCACCTTCCGATGATGTGATACTATCTAGGTAGCCAAACAGGCTGAGATGCTGCAGCCTTCCTGTTTTCTTCTCAGAGGGAGAGTCCCGCCTTGTCACTCAGATCCAGTAGCTTCTCTTGGAAACAATTCCATCTCCTAACTTGCTAAATTGAGCAAACACCCTGGAGGCATAATTTTCACTCCTTGGGTTCCAATAGCATATATTACAAATTCCATTTCCACAGCTCAGATGGGACACCAATTAAGATCGAGCATTGAAATACCAACTAGTGGCTCCGACTAGCCATTTGTTTTAACGTGATGATTCCACAAAGGTCCTACCTCTTCCCTTACCTGCAGCTCAAAGTTCGCTTGATCCAGAAACTTCTTGTTCAGCATATCTGCATACTGATTAATCGCTCGCAGGAAGACTCTGAAAGATCAAGAGAAAATTACATAATTACACACTTAGGCTCTGGCACCTTTGTGGGTTTGGCATTTCAATTAGATAGGAACCCAGACTGTCTGGAATGTGAAATCTCCAAGTCCTGTGCAAAGTTGGGTGCTTTTTGCCAACGCAAAGCTCACAGAATTATATGCAGATGTTCTCCAAATTAATCAAGGAAATTAGCAATTGCAAAATGAAGGAAACAGACCAAAATAACAGCTTCTGCAAGTAACATTTGGAAAGTATCACCAAAAATAATCTAATTTTAAAAAAAAGAAAACGTGCAAATAAAATCTTTTAAAGTTGTAGTGTCTTAATGTCATACCCTTAAATTATCTTTGCTCAGCTGGCTTTTTAAAGCTACGAATTTGAAAGCATTCTTTGTACATGAGCCATCAGGATTAGGATGGTTTTGGTGCAACATTACCAAGTGTGGAAGCACGGCTAACTGTAGCAGCATGTGTTTTCCACCCCACACACTAATTTTCATCGCTGTTCACTCGTTAAAAGATAATTTAAAGGCTTTAGTAGATAGCAGAGTGTTTTCACAAGAATCTTAGCAAGGATTTTAATTCCTTGATTCATTGATGACATACTATTTTAAGCACAATTCTAAATACCTTGAATTTATTTTTCTTTGATAAAATTTGCCATTTGGGCTGCTACAAGTACTATCTTTCTCAAGCTTGTTCATTCAGTAGATTTGTTTTATAACCCTTGAAAATATTGACCATAGTAAAGTGTAGTCCAGTTCCTTTGTAAATGGCCCTCTGCCTTTGCACAAGACAAGGATGCAAGAGGAATTAGCACTGGGTCACAGATAATAAACTTAATTACCCTCTCTCTATTTAGACAGCAGGAAGCAGCCAGAGTGTAAGGGAAATCTAGGTTACCTACTGGTAACTCCTGTTCTCTGACAGCATTGTCCCTTTAGCTAAGCGCTCCTGGAGAACTTCTCATGTCCTGCCATCCCAACCTATGAAGGCCAGTAAGCCTGGGAGGAAGGAGGAAGTTTCTCCACCTGAGACTTTCAGAGGTCTCTAGCAGCACCTGCTACCACCACCTCCCACCATCACCTATTGTCACTGCAGTTTCACACTCCTGCAGGCAGCATTTCATTTTATCAGTGGGACACAGGACCCACACAGGTGTGCCTCATGGCCAGTGCTGGACTTTGCTATCTCAGCCACCTAAGAGAACTGCAGACAGAGCTATTTGCATCTTTCCCTGGGGACATTAAAGCATAACCAGAATGAAGAAATAAGTGTTTTAAGTGACTGTTAATGAGAGGCTGTGGAGATCACGGCCTTGTCCATTAACCAAAAGCCAAGACTGGGCAGCAACATCGGTCAACCACAGGACTGCCAGATTTTGCAAATATAGGATGCCCAGTTAAACTTGAAAAATAGCTCTTGTTGCTAAATTCTGTAATTGATTTTTTTTAAAAGCTGAATATAGAGCATCTGGGCTTCTTTATAAACTAATGTAGGACTTGGGACAAATCATAAAACTTGGGACATGCCTTGAAAGTACGGGAGGCCTGGCCACTCAGGTCAGCCCTCTAGTCGGGCTAGAGTTGACCATGGCATGTTCAGTCCTCAGAAGCACAGGTCATGAGGCCAAAGAGAAGATGATTACTCCTTTACCCGTTGGAGCCTTGTCCACCATATGCAAATAGTACTGCATTAACCCAAGTGGCACTGAAACGCAGCTTCCTGTCACTGTAGGGTGGCTCCACATAAAGCACAAGAACACTGAACTTATGACCATAACCAGTGTTTTCCTTTATCTTTAGAACTTGGATGCTCCCTAGAGTACCCTAGGGACCTTATGTGAGCTTTAAGAAGGCACCACCTCCAGCCCTCTATGGTGATAAAACATACATTATTATTACAGGGTAACTATTTTGCCTCCAGATAGCACCTAAAAACAGTTGTAATATGCTGTTTTTAATTAAACTCTTAAATGATTTCAGCTGGTTAAATAAAGATATTTCTCAAAATGACTTTTTGTTTTTTTTAAAAAAACAAAGCATGTCAGGCTGAAATAAAATGAAGACTGAACAAAAACTTTTTAATGAACTGTCAACTGAGAAAGCAGTGCTGAAGGATAGATTCTATAATTTAGACTCTCTATAAATTTTTTAAAAAGCCAGAACAAAAACCAAATAACATAGAATGCGAGTTGTATGAGGAAAGCTAAAGGAAAGATCAAATAAGAATCATAATCAACCCAGTAAACAAAGATCAGATAGAGCTCAGGTTCAATGCATAAGGGTGGTATCATTTGCACAGACCCACCCAGTCCATGCATAAATAATATTCCACAGTTCACAATGGACGGGAATAAAAACTTACTTGTGACCCTGGGTTCATTTGAAGAGAAATTAATTAGCTAACTAGGTAAACAGAAATACAAACAGACACTATTTTAGATAAGAATATCTGTTAGCCACTGTAATTCATAAATTATTTCTAATAAATGTCAAACCGGGATATAAAAAAGAAAATCATATTAGGAGCTTTTGCAGAATGATTTGCTTTCAGTCACAGGAGTGTGAAAAGTACCACAAGCCAATCCACATGTTTGGACAGACACATGGATGTCTTACTGGACTAAAACAAAAGGTTCCCTTCTGCTGGGCTGCACATGACAAGATCACAGTTGGTTTTGGGGGAAGTGATCACAGGGCAGTTAGGGTGCAAATGGGCTTGTCTCTGCTCCCCTGGTGGTCCTATCTGTGTAGGACATGGTCAGAGCTGGCCTGAGAATCAGAAAGGTCCCCCAGACAGCAGGGACTGTCTGCTCATTCAGCCAAGTACTTTCAATACCCATTCAGCACCTGGCACAAATTATGTGCTTCCTATATGATTATCATAGTAATGAACGCATGGATGAGTGAGGGGAGGGATGAGCTGCCCCAGGTCAGGCTCTGGCTCACACTGGAGGAGGGCTCAGGGAAGCTAGAATAGTTTATAGCCTTTGGTTGACCCCGGAGTTCTTGCATTCTAAGTAGATTTTCCATGGCGAGGCTTAGCTCTTTTTAGGTTCCTGTTACCCCAAATTTCTCACTGAGGACTTGGCATCTATGGGTAGGTGTTGTTCCCCTCTCTCCTCAACCTCCAGAGCTCATTCCTTCATTTTACTTCTCCTCCCTGGTGCTGTCCTCCGATGGCAAGAATCTTGTCTTTTTGGTATCAGTGTTCTTACCCTCCATGCATTTGACCTCTTAAATGCATCCCTTGCCACTGTGCATATTCTGAAATGCTGGACTGTAAGGAAACCAAAAGTTTGTAACTATACTAACAGATCTCTCTGAGCCAAGGTCCAGGACTTTCTTACAGCTGAACAAAATAAGAACACCACCCCCATCACCACCAGCAGCTTGATCCAGCGGTGAGGAGGGGTTCTCCTCTGGAAGTCTAAGTTTTTCTCCACCCCTCCCATTCAGCACTGCAGTGTCTGAGGTTCAGAATGCATGTGTAGAGGCCAGGAGCAACTCAAGGAATGTGAGAAAGATGCGTGCAAGAGAAGGGAACATGGAAAGAGGAGCAGACCAGGCAGGCACTACTTCTACTCTTCCAGAAAAGTCAGGGACTTTAGGGGAAGACATCAATCATCCTCTGAACCAAACAAGTTAGGTCTTACTCTGAGCCAGGACAATTAGGTGACATCTGAAAACCAAAGCTAATGGTGTGAGAAGTAGACGCATTCATGGATGCTGTTCCAAATGGTCAGAATGATTAAAGAAAAGGGTAAGCCTGCATTTAATAGAGTTCTTTTCCATCATTTTTAATCTATGGAAGAATTTACTTATAATCTGAAAATTCAGAAGGTAAAACCATACACACAGATAAATAATGCAGACAGAGTCAGAGGCAAATCATGTCACCCTAAAAAGATTCCATATGCCATCTGGTCAAGAAGCCTGTAAGTTTTATTTCTAATGATCTAATGGAAAGTAACAATCCTCCCTGTTCTTGGGAACCTATTCCTATCTTCAGGGAGAAAGAAGCCAATTCTTCATCAAACCTGTCAGAATACCACCTTTAAAAAAAAAAAATATTGGGGTTAATGGAAATGGAGACAGCTCATCCCCAAGTCCATAGAATCGAAGAAAACAACCAAACCTCAAGCTCTCCTAACTTTTTTTCTTCCATCCTGGAATTCAACCCTGGTGAACACCCACTAGAACAGCATTCTGTTGCATACTGTCAGTGCCAAATGAGTTTAACTGTAATTGTCACATTTATACATTAGTATGGTTGAAGTCTTAATCCAGTTGTATCTACAACTTTACATCCATGTAAATATTTAGCTATGCAAATTTCAGAAAGTTGCTCAATACCACAAAGAAATAATGAGACTGTCAGGTGAAAGATTTGTTAATTAGCTAAGTGTCACCATTCCACAATATGTACATATATTGTAACATCATATTGTACCCTGTAAAGATATATGATTATTATTTGTTAATTTAAAATGAAGTTAAAAATGCTACAAAATGCTACAGCAGAAAGAAAAAGTTGCTCAAGTCTTTGAGATTTGCATCCTTTCCACCGATGGGTGAAAACAGAAAGCTGTGGCCCCTCTGAGATCCATGGAACTTGGAACCTTTGGGTTTTATTCTGTTCTTAGGTTTGAGATTGAAGGTGAGAAAGATATGACTACATGATACCAAGTCATCAAACACCATGACTGCCACTGACACTTTATAAAATCTTAAGTCACATTTGGGGAAAATAGAAGACATGCCCCATGATTACGTCTACAGAACACATAGGCACATGGGCTGGGTGTGGCCCTTAGATGACCTGGCAGTGCCATGCCTGCAGGAAGCACCTGAAAGTTCCAAACATCATGTCAAAAAAGGATGTCAAAAAAGTCTGGCCTTTTGGCCCAGGTGCCCACTTTGTCCTTGCACAAAAGGGTCAGTGGATGCTTGGGCTCCAACAAGAGAGCATCCTGCAAGGCCACCTATTGGG